CGATATAGAGAAGGGCGTGCCTACGCATTGGACATTCGAGCACTGGCTGCATGTTGTGCAAGCGCTGCTGCGGTAACGCTGGCCAAGCTCACGCGCTCACGGCGAGTTGGAAGGAGCAGGCAGCCATAGCCGAGTTGCGCTGCTGTATGCTGGATAGGGCGCATGGTGGTCCTTGGGTGCAAGTGGCATCTGTGAGTTGGGGAACGAGGTTGTGAGTGATACGAGAGACATACCTGGTGCTTGAGGCGTGNGGCGCATGGTGGTCCTTGGGTGCAAGTGGCATCTGTGAGTTGGGGAACGAGGTTGTGAGTGATACGAGAGACATACCTGGTGCTTGAGGCGTGCGGCATTGGCCAGGATCTGCTCGTACTTGGGAAGTTGTTGACGTCATCAGTGGCATTGTAGTCTAGGCTAGATAGGATCTGCCATTCGTAGTCTGGGCGCCGAGTGCCAGATAGGATATCAACATTGGTTCTTCGTTGATGATGATGAGACTATTCCAACATTGTCAATTATGAGCTTTTGGTGTGCTCTTATTTGGTGAAACTCGTGATGCAATTTTGCTATTGGCTCGAGGTCATGACTATCTGGTCTCATGTGTATGATGCTGTTTGATTTCTAAAGTTCGCTATTGCTCATCTTCCTTGCAATTTGGTATCGGAGCTGTGGTTTGGTGCGCTAATCTGGCGCTTATCTTCTGCCTAATGCGGTACATGCACGCGGTGTGTGAGGTGACTGTGCCGTGGGACGTGTGTAGTGAGGAGGGCGAAGATAAGTAGGCGACCTCGGTGGAGAGGGGTTCGCCAGAAAGGCTAAGCGGTGATTATTGGGTGTTCGAAGTGTGATGAGAACTATCCGGTGTATGATTGATGCTGAGGTGGAACAGTGGTACAATGCTGGTTGTGCCGAAGCACTGATTGGTCATCATAATCAACATCGGGTCATCTGGTGAGAACATTTGTGGTTGGGGGCAACTATTTCGAGGTACGTTGCACGGAACTTGCACCTAACCTTATCTACCCTCTTCGACACTTCTTACCGTGAGGATGTGTGTTCCGTCTTGAGAGTCCTCTCATGTGAGGAGTCATGCGTGCTCAACCTTGGGAGTCGTCAATCTTCACGTGGAGTATCTGGAAGGAGAGGGCGGTGCTATCTGAAGGGCCCTGGACGAAGCACTGGGTCACGGTCACCATGCCAACCCATCGGGAGTAGAGCACTGTGCTGTAGAGGGGTTCTGAAGGGCAGGCCAACCCTATGGGATAGACGAGACCGGGCGTCTATAAATAAGCACCGGCGGGGTACCTTCCATTGCCTGTGATCGTCGTCCTGTTTGTGACGTTAAATAATTCCTGAGGACTTCGGGGGCCGTCCATAAAAATGCCTCTTGATCAGCCTATCGGTCGGTGTAAGGCTCGCTGCACGCGAGGATAAAGATTGTGCAGGGCTGGCCAGCTCAGCAGGACTCGGGGCACAGGGGTGGGCCGTGTGCACACCTTTAGACACGCGCGCTGTCCGGATTGCTCAGGGACTTAGACGACAAGAGACATTCAGGAAGAACTGAGGGAGGGGTAGATTCCAGGTGATAAGTTTGGGCAAGATTCCACTCTGCAAACAGACCCAACAAATGATTCTATTTTTATTTTGATTAGTTAGATGTACAACCATTAACATTTGGCAGACAACATAGTTTAGAACTGTTTTCTGTTCATTGTGCTTCTGTTTGCGAACTAGTCAAAGTCAAAGTAGTTTCGTTTGTAGGAACCTGAACTTACCTGTTGGACCCAAATGTATATACTCTCTGACGCAGCCACCGATTAATTATAATTCAGTCTGTGCACTACGCTGCGGTAAGCATCAAAGAGTGTCTTAGTGCGGATTGTGTAGGTCTGTAGCTTATGAGCAATAGGGATACCACTAGTGAGGATGACTGGATCTTGCGATCGGTTGGACGCCCGATTGCCCACGTGGCATTAGGACCCGAGGGTGATAGGTTGCTATTCCGCCAGCAAAGGGAGAGGCAACAGCAGCAACGGAGAGCTAGGGCAGCAGAGGCCAGCAGGGCATTCGCAAGAGAAGCCGCAACTTCAGCAGCCATGGCAACTGCTGCGCATCAGAGTTCCTAGGCTAGCAGTTCAAGGACCGTAGGGTCAACGGTCGCGCAGACCCTGAGTCAGTCCACTGGCGTAATGGCAAGCCAGCCATTAGTGTTGACTCCCGAGGAGGTTGCCATACAGCGAGCTGCTGATCGCGAGGCACAACTATAACAGGCTTTAGGAGAGATTAAGGCAGAAAAATAAAGAATGATTAGAAGAAGAGCCAGGTTGCAGCGGCGACAAGCGGACATTAGCGAGTTAGAGGAGATGGACCCAGCAGAGTTGGATGATGAAGTGAGGACCCTGAGGTCGGTCTTGCTAGGAGTAGTAGAGATGCAAGATCACCAGACGACGATCTTACAAGACATCCAGCAGAGTCTGGCCGCGTTAGTCGGGCGAGCGCAAGCGGCACCATCACTGTCCAGGCCTGGTGCCTGGCCTGTTGTACATCCTCCTCCTTTTGTTCCACCGGTGACTGGGGTATCCCCATATACCGCTCCAGCATCGGTTCAGCCCGTTCCCCTGGGTATGCCTTTAACAGGCAGGTTCTCAGCAGGTCCTAGTTTACAGATTCCTGTACAGACAGTGTTCTCCCAACCTCCATCGCAGGTTGTTGTAAGCGGGCAATCTGCTGTCTCGCAGCCTGCACCGCCGCAGGGTACACAGCCCCAACAGCTGGTGCAGTCGCCTGCACCACAGGGTCCACAACCCGGATTGATGCAGAGACCGGGACAAAGTTAGTGGGTTCCAAAGACGACCATCGCCGCTCCTAAACCGTTTAAAGGGGATAAGAGGGGCGAAGACCTCGACACCTGGTTGAGGGCAGTGCCAGTCTATGTCGAGTGCAAACTTACCTTGCCGCACGAGGAAGTGCTTGTGGCTGCCTCCTATGTAGAGGGGAGTGCAGCAAGACGGTTGAGTGGTTTAGTGGAGCTACAGGGGTACGGTCATGACTTTCACGCTTGGGCGGTCACCTAAAAACTGGATGACTTAATCAAGTTGGTGGAAGACAGGTGGCATGATCCTCAGGAGGCCCAAAAGGCTACTGACGCGATCCTGACACTGCATACCAGGCAGTTTAAGTCAGTAAGAGAGGCCACTTACGCAGTAGAGCATCTGATCTGTATCCCTGGGGTGCGCTATGACCCCCATGTCTTACTCACCTCCTACCTGAGATGCTTTCCCATGCCTCTCGGGAATCAGCTGGCAGGTGAGGCCAACATCAACATGCACAACTTCCCGTCGATTAGCAAGAAGGCCCTAGACCTTGAAGCAAAGATAGGGCATGGTCGGACACCCAGGACAGATGGTAGGAAAAAGTCATTGTCTCCCAACTGGAAAGCGAGGGACGCATCATGTTCATCGACAACGATGGTTCCACCATCGAATTGGACGATGACTTCCAGTCGGGAGTGGGTTCAGAGGCCGGCAGCGTAGAAGCTTCAGGGGGTGGAGTAGTCGCTGCCGTAGCTCAAAAAGGTAAGGCGACCGGTAGACGGCGTGGAGGTTCCCGGTCTAGGAGTCAAGTTGACCCCAATGCTCCTCCATGGGAGAAAGCGGTTCTCAGTGAGGACGTGTGGAGAGATCGGTACACGCGGCAAGCTTGTATCCGTTGTGGCCAATACAACCATAACCGGTTCAAGTGCCGAAATAAGAAGGTGACCGAAAAGATCCCGCCTACGATGGGGCAGGCGTTGGGATCCTCCGCTCCCGTTGGTAGCAATGTGGCTAGCAGTTCTAGCACTGCTCCGGGAAACGCGTCGGGCCAGTAGGAATAGTAGTTGTTCCTGCTAGGGTCGAGGTGGTGGACACACCCTCACCATCTCACGAGATGGCCCAAGCTCCTGACTCCATCGTCGTCCCGTAAACACATTCAGACCCATCGAGCCTCTGTTCGATGAATGTGTTAGAGTCCTTAGAGGAGCTGGAGGAGGAGTGGTCTAGATCAAACCCACTAGCTTCTTGGACGACATTGGCTAAAGCCTTTAAGGGAGAGATGTTTGTCGGGGAGGTAGTCATCGACGGCCGCAAGGCCGGGGCCTATTATGACACTTGCTCGACAAGGAACTTCATCAGTCACACGTGCGTTGAGAGGCTGCACTTACAGGGGTAAGTGCAACGCCTAAGTCGATCTGTGGAGTCGACCTGTGCCAATAAACAGCGCATGGTAGTTAATGACTACCTCCAGAATGTTGAGTGTTGTTTCCCATACGTGGGAGGGGAACTGAGACATCATGTTTCATTCCTGGTGAGCGATGATCTCCCCCTGGATATCTTGTTAGGTATGTACTACCTCTCCGTAGCACAACCCCAGTTTGACCGGGACCGAAAAGTGGTCAAACACACTTTGCCAGGTGGAGGGATTGCCAGATTACGTAAGTTCAAAGCTAGTAGTCTGGTTGAGTCCTACGGATGCGTGTGTGCGGCCTCGTTCTATAATTATTATAAGCAAAATCCAAAGGAGGGGGTGTATCTAGTTTATGTCTCTGCGGCAAGCGAGCCGGTGAAAATGCCGCCGGAGATAGAGGGAGTAGTTGCCAAGTACCTTGATCTATTTGAAGAGCCAACAGGGGTTGTGGAGAGGGAGGTCGTCCATGCGATAGAGATTATCCCAGGGTCTAGCATCCCAAAGGGTAGGATCTATCGGATGTCTTCAATCGAGCTTGATGAGCTTCGTCGGCAACTCAAGGAACTCGTAGAGAAGGGTTGGATCCGGCCGAGTGTCTCTCCTTATGGTTCTCCAGTCTTATTCGTACCAAAGAAGGGGGGCACTCTGAGGATGTGCATTGACTATAGGGGCCTCAATGCCATCACTTTCAAGAATTGAGAGCCCCTACCGCGCGTCAACGACTTGTTAGATCGAGTGCAAGGGTGCCAGTACTTCGGTAAGATAGATCTGAAGTTCGGGTACCACCAGATTGCTATACGGCCTGAGGATCAGCACAAAACCGCATTTCAAACCAGCTACGGTCTGTACGAGTTTGTGGTCATGCCTCTCGGCCTTTGCAATGCTCCTGACACCTTTCAGCACGCGATGAATCGGGTCTTTCATGACTACTTGGACAAGTTTGTCATCGTGTACCTCGGTGACATACTTATCTTTAGTAGGACTGTCGAAGAGCACGTAGCCCATTTGGACAAAGTCCTTAGTCTCCTTCGACAATACGAGTTCAAGATCAACGGTGAGAAGTGCGAGTTTGGCCGCACCCGTATCTTGTACTTGGGTCATGAGATTTCCGCGGAGGGTTTGAAGCTCGATGACGTGAAGGTAGCCAACATTCATGACTGGCCGCGTCCTCAGTCTGTGACTGAGATGACGTCTTTCTTAGGGATGACCGGCCAGTACCGTAATTTTGTTAAGAACTATAGCATAGTGGCTGCCCCTTTGACTGACCTCACCCGCCTTGACACCCCGTGGGAGTGGACAGACAGGTGTGAGGCTGCTTTCAGACATCTGAAGCATGCGTTGACACACCATGAGGTCTTGAAACTTCCTGATCCTGACAAGTCGTTTATAGTAACCACGGATGCTAGCCAATATGGCATAGGCGCCGTGCTCGCGCAGCAGGAGGGGCCAAAGTTGAGGCCAGTCGAGTACATGTCCAAAAAGATGCCCTCTCAGAAGTTGGCTAAGTCCAACTATGAGAAGGATCTCTATGTGATTTACAAGGCACTGACCCATTGGAGACATTATCTCCTAAGGAGGTTCTTCATCGTTAGGACTGATCATCAGACCCTAAAGTGGATGAGAACTCAGCCTATGCTCTTTGATGCCTTGAAGCGCTGGATCGAAGTCATTGAGCAGTATGACTTCGAACCCCAGTATCTGAAGGGGGAGTACAACAAGTTGCTGATGCCTTGTCACGTAGGCCTGACTTCTCTGGTGCGCTGATCATTGAGTTCGGGCTTGCGGACGATGTCACTCGTTCTATGGTGGAAGCCTATCGCGAGGATCCGTTTATGTCTGAGATCATTCGCAACCTCGAGGGGAAGGACAAAGTGACTTTTGTCGAGTTTGAGTTGGTCAACGGCTTGCTGTTCCTTGAGAAGGCTGGGAATAAACGTTTGTGTGTGCCTAATAGGGAGTCTTTGCGCAATTTATTTTTAGGAGAGTGTCATGACGCCACCGGCCATTTTGGTTTCAAGAAGACGACAACCAATTTGTTGCAGTGGTTCTGGTGGCCCACGATGATGAGAGACGCAAAGCTGTACGTGGAGACTTGTCAGGTCTGTCAGAGGGGCAAGCCACATACACAAGCTCCTCTTGGGCTTCTAAATCCCCTTCCGATTTCGGAAAGGCCTGGAGAGAGCCTGTCCATGGACTTCATGGATACGCTGGTCACCAGCAAGAGTGGTATGCGCTACGTCTATGTCATCGTGGATAGATTTAGTAAGTACGCTAGGTTAGTCGCAATCCCTGCAACAGCTAAAACTGAGTATGTGATCAAGTTGTTCAAAGAGAATTGGGTCAGAGATTTCGGACTGCCTAAGTTTATAGTTAGGGACCGAGATGTGTGATTCACCAGTGAACTGTGGAAAGCTGCAGCTGCAGAACACGGCACGCGGTTGCAAATGACATCAGGCAATCACCCAGAGGCGAATGGGCAGGCAGAGCTGTTGAACCGCGCTGTACAACACCTGCTGAGGGCATTACATCAAGCCAAATCAGGTAGACTGGGATGAGAAACTTGCTCTCATCGCCAACCTGTACAACAACGCCGTGCACAATGCTACGAGAGTAAGCCCGAACAACTTGCTACTGATTTTGAAGCCTAGAATGCCTTTGGACTTCCTACTACCTGAGAATCAGACATCTGCTGCACGAGGAACCTTAGAAAGAGTTTGCTTATCGATATGAGCGCCCGGTGCAACAGGCTGTTGAGCAGATGCATAAAGCACAGGCGGGGATGATAGAGTCAAAGAACAAACACCGCTGCCCATCTACATTCCAGGTAGGAGAAAGAGTCTGGGTTAAGTCTTCAGAACTGGGACAGGAGCACGCGATCTCCCGCAAGCTCATGCCACAGTACTTTGGACCATGGGAGGTTCTAGATGCCATTGGGAATGAACCGGATGGCCCTTTTATGTTATTCGCATCCCTGGTCACTTGCGCACTTACCCTGTTTTCCACACCTCCAAGCTTGCACCCTTTAAAGAAACATATCAGTTTCCCTCTCGTCGCCCACCCATGGATGGAGAGGTCGACATTGATGACATCGTTGACCACAGGGAAATGCCAGTTTCAAGACCTGTAGGCAGGGGACGTCCTCCAAAACCGAAGATGCAGTACAGGGTTCGGTTCAGACATTATACTGATCCAAAGGAGGATAGATGGTTCACACGGGAGGAACTGATGCAAACCGCTCCACAGGTTGTCGCTCACTACGAGAAGTCTCTGCAGAAGGGAAAACACCAGATTATCAAAGATTGAACTTCTTAGAGGACTATCGAAGTATGGAGGAGGGAATGCGAGGCACAAGGCCTTGATATGCCCTACAGGGCCTATTTTTCACACAGTCGGCCCCCCTGGGTGAAGGCAGGCACGACCAAGGCCTACATGCCATTTTGGGGTCACCACGCAACTGGGAAATTCTGACAGTTGCGCAGCGCCAGTTGGCTGGAAGCGCTTAGGCCCAAGATGCCTTTCATTGCATGTAACTGAGGCAGGCCCTGGGCTGGATACACAAAGTGGACCGAACAAAGGCTGAGGGCAGTTGGATGCTGGTAACCACCATAGGCCCTGGGCCTGTTTACTTCGGGTTGAGGCTCAGCCTCGTGGGGCCTACCGGAAGCTTCTGGGCCAGGGCCCAGTACCGCATTACTGCACGCAGCAGCAGGCCACTTCGATATAGAGAAGGGCCTGCCTACGCATTGGACATTCGGGCACTGGCTGCATGCTGCGCAAGTGCTTCTGCGCTAACGCTGACCAGGCTCACGCGCTCACGGGCGAGCTGGAAGGAGCAGGCAGCCATAGCCGAGCTGTGCTGCTGTATGCTGGATGGGGCGCATGGTGGTCATTGGGTGCAAGTGGCATCTGTGAGTTGGGGAACGAGGTTGTGAGTGATACGAGAGACATACCTGGTGCTTGAGGCGTGCGACATTGGCCGAGATCTGTTCGTACTTGGGAAGCTGTTGACGTCATCAGCGGCATTGTAGTCTAGGCTAGATAGGATCTGCCATTCGTAGTCTAGGCGCCGAGCGCCAGATAGGATATCAACATTGGTTCTTCGTTGATGATGATGAGACTATTATTGCATTGTCAATCACGAGCTTTTGGTGTGCTCTTATTTGGTGAAACTCGTGATGCAATTGTGCTATTGGTTTGAGGTCATGACTATCTGGTCTCATGTGTATGATGTCGTTTGATTTATAAAGTTGGCTATTGCTCAGCTTCCTTGCAACATTAAGAAGGTGAAGGAAACCATACAGAAAGCCCAGTTGCAAATGATTGAACAAGCTAATAAACATCGTCGTCCTTCACAATTTCAAGAAGGGCACTTTGTCTGGGTCAAGTCTAAAGAGTTTTCCTTAAAAGAAAATGTGTCTCAGAAACTGCTACCTATCTACTACGAACCCTGGGAAGTTCTCAAAGTGATTGAAGGAGAAGATGGACCTTCCTATCGCATAGATGTACCTCCACATCTAAGGACATACCCTGTCTTTCATGCGTCTAAACTGCTACCCTACGTAGAAAGTGATGACTTTCCAAATAGGCCATCTCCATTTCCACCCTCTATGAACGGAGGTTATGAAGTTGCAAGGATAATGGAACATGGCTACTTCTCTACAGGTGGCAGAGGACTACCTCAAAAGTAGTACAAGGTAAAGTTCAAGTCTCAAGGTCCATCTGAAGCCAGATGGTTTAGTTGGAAAGAACTCCTACCTACTGCTCCTGACATTGTTGCTGCTTATGAACGTGGGTTAAGTGAAGATTAATGTATTTCTGCGATGGAACTCGAAAATTGGGCCGGCAGGAATGTAATAACCCATGTAGTAAGCCTTGCTGAAACTGAGACCCAGGCCGAACAGGGGGAAAAAAACCCCAGTCAAGACTCAGGGCCTGGACGAGGCACAGTTGACAAAGTCAACTGTCGGAAATTCCAACAGTCAAAGTCCAAAGGTACCTAGCCCAGGCCGCAGGTCAAGTACACACACTTGTTTGTATGCAGGTACCCAGACAGCATCAGGTCCAAGGGAGAAGTCTGCAACTGTACAATCCGGGTCCTCAGCTGTGGTTCAATGTGGACGACTGTGGGAAAAGTACCCGAGGCCAGACAGCCTCGACATCTGTACTTAAGGCTGACCTCGAGTAAGTCAAGCATTCAGTCTTGCTATGCTGCTTTGACACTGGCTCGACTTTGACACGACGCTGGCTTCATGTTGGCTGTGCACAAACGTTGCGGACGACGGCACGAGGTCGAGGCAGCATGCTGGCGCTTCTTCAGTGCGCCAGGCCATGCTAATGTGGCGCTGCCTCTGGTATACGTGGTGCTGCCTATGGTCTACATGGCATGCTGATGTGGCGCTGCCTCTGGTCTACATGGCAATGCTGATGTGGTGCTGCCTCTGATATATGTGGCGCTGCCTCTGGTCTACGTGGCATGCTGATGTGGCGTTGCCTCTGGTATACATGGCGCTGCCTCTAGTCTACGTGGCATGCTGATGTGGCGCTGCCTCTGATATACGTGGCGCTGCTACTGGTCTACATTGATGATGTGGTGATTGCCACCTGTTTCGATAGTTGATGTGGCATTGTCCACGCTATCTACATTAGGTGACTGGTTGCGAGGAGGAGGAAGATCGGGATCTGTGGTTGAAGGAGAACGGGTACTCACCTGGGGTTGAAGTCGATAGTGGAATCTGCAATGTCTTCATGGTCTTCATGATATTGAGTGCCACGTGGCACTTCCGTGTGTGTTCAGGAATATACTTATTATCATTGCTGATGTGGAGAGGGAAGAAGCCCGGAGAACGAGAGGGTTCAGAAGGGATTACTGTGTGAATCTCCATCTTCTCCTTGGTCTGTTCCCCCTCCACTCTCTTCTATTGATGATAATGAGATACTGTTTGAGATATTTCTTCACGAATTGGAGACTTTGCTGCAGATACTGACTCGACAGGTATTTGACGACTTCTGAGTATCTGTCAGACCGGGTTCATTACAGCTGCTATCTACTTGCGTTCTAACATACAGCAACGATCACAGGTCACGGATCTTGTTTCCCTCCAAGCAGGGGTGCTATGTGTGCTATGATTTCCATCCAAGGGTCTTGTTCCCATCCAAGTGTGGCTGCTACGTGGTATGTACCTGGACGGATTGCTGCTATCTACTTGTATTCTAATGTACAGCAACGGTCACAGGTCACATAACTTCTTTCCATCCAAAGGGGGTGCTATGTGGAGGCTGCTTTGTGCGCTATGATTTCCACCCAAGCGGGGCTGCTATGTGCTATGCACCTGGACGGGAACGGGGACCGCTGCTATGCACCCAAGCAGGCTGCTATGTGCTTGTACTTGGACGGGAGTGCTATGCAGTTGCATCTGAACATACAACAAAAACAATCACTGGTTCTCCTTTCCATCTAAGCAGGGTTGCTACTACGCAGTTGTATCCGAACATACAGCCAAGACAATCACGGCTCCCAGTGGGGTTGCTATGTACCTGTATTCAAACATGCAGCAAGAGCGGCACACAGAAATGGTAGAAGCACAACAGCACCGCCCACTGCCGGATAGAAAGAAAGGCTGGGCAGGCTCGAAGGGGCCAGAAAGAAAAATGCATCATGCCGGGTGGAAACAGCAGAAGAGCGACAACACTGCCTGCTGCTGGAAAGAAAAAAAAGGCCGGGTGGGGATGAAGGGGCCCCAGAAAGAAAAATGTGTCACGCCTAGTGGAAACGGTAGAAGCGTGACAACACCGTTGGCCGCCAGAACGAAAAAAAAGACTGGGCGGGTGCGAAGGAGCACTAGAAGAAACAACATGTCGTGCCAAAGAAGAAAATGGGGCAGCATTGAGTCGGCCCGGCACAAAATGGAAAATGGAAGGCTTCCGAAAAGCCGCGCGCCAAAAGGACCCGTGCAAAAAAAAAAAAGGAAAGGGAACTTCTCGAGCGTGGCACCTCCCAAACGTTATATGCATGAGGAGCAGAGGGCTTAGTTAAAATAGAACCAGGTCTTTGATGGCTTGTTGGGCTTTGGGCCCGTAAGCGAAACTGGGTAAATGGTCCTGGGACCAGCTGGCTCTCTATCTGGGTTGTTCTGTGAGGGTTCCCGGCCTCAGTTTGTTTTCAATGCAATAAAGGAACCCTCTTCTCCCCTCCTCCCGAAAAGGTTAAAATGAAAAGACGTTATGGGAGGCTTCTGTGTGGAGATTATGTGAAGTTTCCTGCTACTCACAGAAATTTTCGTTTCTGGAATTTCGATGGGATATCCTTTGTCTGGGCCTCTGAAATGCTCACTTGCAGCTTCCCATCTACATTCAAAAGCAATTGATCAAGTCTCTTGAGTATCAATGGCGACCAAAGGGAACGATCATCATCAGGCAGGGAGAACCAGCTGGAGATTGGTATGTGAGATGTCTATGCACTTGTATGAAATGTATGGATGCTTTTGAAACCAACAAGCCATACATAGAATAGACATGCCTAGAAAGAAGAAGGTCAATAACTGAAACTCACTCATGGAGTCTGGTCACATGAGTATGCAAGAATCGAAGGAGAAGAGTCAGATTAGCGGTGTGGAGAGGGCTCTCCATAAGTCTTCTGAGCCTGCATGAAATGGTGGCAGGACGGGCAGTTGCACTTGAGTATATTGGCCATGCCATATATGACCTTATTTTCCCCAGCAAGGCAAAGTGATGGCTGCAATTAACCGGTAAATAATGGAAGTAAGTGCAACACACCAAGGAGATCAACGCTGGTACCATCCACCAGAGTCATGACCACCAGACCTGTAGTTGGTGCAGCAGTAATGGCTGCGCTTGTTTTGAATGGCACCACTGCTGCCATTGAGCTTTCGATCAGTTTCGCTGGACTTTTTTTTTTTTTTAAAACAGGTCCTTATGGTCCTGGCTCCATATCCATTCTGGGGAGTGTCAGTCCGGTTCCTATTCCCCCGGCAAGTCAAAAACGGGTTACATCATATTACCCACACTCAGCGCCAGACGGAAGGACCCCTGATCAGCATTGATTGGTCCTTCTAAGGAGGATTGACTGTCAGCTCGCCCTGACCATTTGTTCATCTCAGGCTTCTATTTAGAGCTTGTCAAATGAGTCCCTGTAATACGAGAATAGTGGGGGGTTCCGCTCTGTGTTCTGTTGCTTGTCCTTGTCTTTCCCTGTGTGTCCGGTTCTCTTTTTGTTGATCACCATTCAGAACCTTCTGCCAGGTCTCCCGGCATGTATCCTCGTGGTCTTCATGCCTCTGCCTGGTACCATTTCTTCCATCTCAGTCTACTGTCTACTATCGTTGCCACCTTGCCCTTTAGCAACCAGATCCTTATGAAAGTCCGTTTCTTGGTTGCTTGTCTTTCTGGTCTGTCTCGTAGAGTTAGCTATTCTCCGCATCTGCTCCTGATTTCCGTCTCTGCCATGCTCAGCAGTAGTGACCACATTTCTTCTTTTGCAACCTCTGTTCCCTCGATTGTCTGAGTACATCTGCGTTTCCATATCACCCACAGTGCCAGCTTCCTGAGTAGGGTGAACCATGCTTCCCTGCTGCCTGTGATGTTGCTGGGGATGTTAGTTAGAAGTAGGATAGAGATAGGGGGGATGTTTGGGGGGGGGGGGCAGCGAACAGGATCGACCATAGCTCGCGGATCTTCTTCCATATCCAGATTGCTTCAGGGCAGAAGAGGAGGCAGTGGGGGATGTCTTCGGGTGAGTCGTTGCTGCACATTGAGCAGCATGTCAAGCTATCAGGATCAGAATGTTTCCTTCTCTCGTGTAACCATTGGTTGACTGGCAGGGCCGCATGTGCTATTAGCCATTGCATACTTCGGATTCTACTTGGTGTGATGAAAAGGTATTTGGTCCATGTGATGGAGATGGGGGGCGTGGTGTCTAGGTTCAATATGGTTCTCCATTTCTCTGCCAGCCTTGGATTCGGGTCTTTGGTTTGTAGCCCGAGGTTATATCCGAGCTTAACGTCGTATTCTGTTATCCTTCTCGATTTACTGGCGGCGCCCAGATCCCAGATCCATTCCTTTGGGTCGAATTCCAACTCGTTGATGCCGAGTTCCGACTGGAAAATAAGCCAGGGTGTCTTGTGAGAGACTCTAACCTTCCTGAGAAGGTAGGTTTCTATTTGTTCGTTCTCTGGTGTTTTGTTTAGGACCTCTAGTTCATATAGGCCGTGTTTGATGATGGGGTAGGATACGAACATGGCCTTGTAGTTGATTAAGTCCGGTTTTGACACAAAACGGTAGGCTTTCGTTGGTGGGGTCTGTGTGATGAGCAGTCCCCAGCTTCCTGGTTTCCATGTATGTGTCTCTTTTAGGAGGGTCGTCCATGGGGGGGGAATGCTTTGGAGGATTTCGAACAGGTTGGTGGTCAGTAGATGGCAGCCTTTTAAGGGAGTGCGGAGGTCCTGTGCGGTGAGCCATTCTTGTCGGTCTTCGGACCACAGATGTTTGACCTGCCATACTCCTCTCTCCACAGCCTGCCCTCTGTGTCTTTGATCCAGGGATTGCAGAACAGGGGTTGTCGTAGGACTTCCTCTTTGTTGCTCGGGAACCCTTTCTTGTTTGGCATCAGTCGGCGCCAGGTCTTTAGGATCGGAGACCAGTAGGGGGTGGGTGTGGTGGGGGGTTGAGTGCCCGATTTGATTGTCCACTCCTTTGCGATGATCCAGAACAGGCCACTCATGTTTGGTGGGGTCGCTACTGGTGCCAGATTCCTTATGCTGTCTCTCGCCATCGTGGTCCACGAGAGGGCTTGTTTGGTTAGGATTTTGATTATCCATTTCATTTGGAGGGCGATTGCTTCTTGTTTAGGGTCGATTATACCTAGCCCTCCTTCGTGTGGTTTCCTGATGACCGTTTGCCAAGCCACCTTGTTTATACAGGTGGTTCTGTTGGGGTCGCCAGTCCACAGATAACACCTGGCTCTAACCTTCAATTACTTCAGGTCGTCGTCGGGGGGGCACCATATGGAGGCCATGTACCACAAGGTGGAGAATACTGCTGTGTTGATGATCAGGGCTCTCCCTAGTAGGGAGGCCTGAGCTTTGTTGCAGGTGGCTAAACGGGTTATTGCTCTGGCGAGTAGAGACTCCCTCATCCCTTGCCACATGCCATCCCTGTTTACCATAATGTCAAGATATCGAAGTGCTTGATCGCCCGTAGTCCAGGACATTGGGGTGGATGGGTCTGGGGGTTGGGGGGGGGGGGGCCTTCTGCGAGCCACCACCCTTCCGTTTTCAGCCAGTTGACCTTCATTTATGAGGTGAGTCTGAAGGCTTCCATGGGGCGGGCCAGGGCCTGGAAAGAGGAGTTGTTGGCGCGGATGAAGACCGTGAGATCGTCTGCGAACATCTGTGCGGTGGGGAGAGCAAAGTCGTGGAGGGTGTTGTAGTTTTGTTCAGTGAGGCGGTCTATGGATGGGTCCTTGCGCAAGAAAGATGCGATGGCTTCCATTATGAACAGGAATAGGAATATTGGGGGTGCAAGGGGGTCGCCTTGCCGGACGGATCTCGATATCAGGTAGGTTTCTGACAGTATTCTGTTTATCTGCACCCTGCCCGTGGCATCCCCATAGAGTACTCTAACCCATTCTCTGAAGTTTGGGCCGACTCCCATCTTCTCCATGCAGTTGTGGAAGTCCCAGTTGACTTGATCGTACGCCTTTTCAAAGTCGAAGAATAAGATCGCTGCTTGCATTCGTTTTTCCATGATCTTCTTTGCCGCCTCCTTTAGAGCCATCACATTATCCGAAATGTATCGACCCATGATGAATCCTGCTTGGTCGATGTGAAAGCAACTGTCTGTTAGTTTTATGATTCTGTTGGCAAATGCTTTCGCTAGGATTTTGTACGGCGTTGTGAGAAGTGAGATGGGTCTGTAGTTCTTGAGGTCCTTGTCTCCCTTTTTGTATATTAGTGACACTGCGCTGGTGCTTAGAAATTGACTTAGGACTCTCTTTTCCCTACTGTCGTTGATGAAGTTCAAGAGGTCGTTGCCCAGTGTTGGCCAGAACTGGATCTAGAATTCTTTGGACGGGCCATCAATTCCTGGTGCTTTGTCGTTTCCCATCTGGGATAGGGTTGCATGAAGTTCCCCTATGGTGATTGGTTTGTCCAAGTCCTTCGTTTGTTCTTGGGTAATCATTCTCTCTAGGCAGGTCATCATGTGCTGGCGGGCGTTGATATTTGCTGTTGGAGGGGGGAGGGGGTTTTGGACTCGTAGAGGTTGGCGTAAAAGGACCTGGCTATTCTTACCATGTCTGCGCCGGGTGACTTTGTCGTCCCCTGGTTTGCTGGGTCCTTCACCCCCTCGATTGTGTTGTTCCTAGCGTTGGCCTTGATCTTGGAGAAAAAGAATTTGGACATCGATTCATTCAGGGTGTAGTCATTCATTCGGGCGCGTTTCTGTAGGCCTCTGAGTTCCCATCTTCTCCATTCATTTAGTTCGTCCTTGGTAGATTGGAGTAGGTTGTGGTAGGAGGAGTTAGAGGGATCAGATGCTAGGTTGGTTTCTGCGATGTCGAGTACGATTTGTAGTTCCTCCTTCCTGTATTTGCGTTCTGCTGCTATGCTTCTAGACTCTGCTGAGACCGTTTGAGACAGGTTCATATAGCTGCCTATGAACCATTTGTGCCTGTCCCGACGTTTCTTCTCGTCTTGGTGTATGAACCACCAGTTCCATCTGACTGCCTCAGTCATGCATTCAGCGGAGAGGAGTGAGTTGTTGTGTCTAAAAAAGCCTTGTCCTTTTTCTACCGGAGAGTTGAAGTTAAGGAGCAAGTAGGTTGGTTTGTGGTCGAGGCCCTTAAAGGCTGCTGCTGGTAGGATGCCGGCCTCCTTGATTGCTCCTTGTAGCATGTATGAAATTAGGAAGAAATCGATTCGTGATAGTGATGTGTGGTTAGATCGGTTCCTCTTGACTAGGGAGATGGCTTTCGTGTGTGGGTGGAGGATTCAGAATGGGTCGACCAGGTCGAACTCTGTCATGATGTTCCGTATGTGTGTGCTCACTCGTGTGGGCCCCAACAACACTGCCTGGGAAATGCGATCCAGGTTGGGAGTGTAGTGTTCCAGTCACCTGCTATAATTAGCGACAACGGGGTCGGGATAAGTGATTTGATGTGGTCGAAGAAAGCTAGGCGTTTGGCTTCCGTGTTGGGGGCGTATAGGTTCAGGATTATGATCTTTTCCCCTTGCCATGTCATTTGGATCCATGGCCATCTTCCTTCCGCTGTGTCTCCTTCGCCATTAATTACCAGACCCTCGTACCAGATTTTGGAAGAAGTTGGTATGAGGATTGTTGTGTCGCGGTTGCTTTGGTCCGCTTTGTTGGACCACAGTGAGAAAGGGCATCCCCCTAGGCTTTTCTCCACTTTCCTCTTTATT